ACATTATAGCCAATTTCGGCTGGCTAGCGCTCACGCTAGCACTCGTCTGATGATCGGACGGAGGCAGAAAAATGTCAGCATAAACGGTCTTTTTATTGGTTTCCGGGGATGCGAGTGATGAGCGCGTTACGCGTTTAATATTAAAATTAGCACTTTTAAAGCGTCTGGATTAAAAATAGGACGCCAAACATTATCTTTCGGGACGAGTGCGAACCTGAATTGCTCGACCTCTAGAAGAACTTTATCGTAAATAATGTTTCGCTCTCGCGAGAGATAGGCCATTCTTCTTCTTATGTGAATTCTAAATTCGCGCGCGTAGCTTCTTTTACAACGGTCCCCGTCTCGACGAGCGTGCACATGTCTCGATGTGATCGAAGATTTATATTAAAATCAGAGGTTTCTCGAAAAACTTGATATTTCCCTGCTCATTAATTTGATAGGAAAAGGAAAAAGTGATCGGCCATTGTTAACTGCCGCTTACAACGTGGAAAAGTTCGCTCGCGCAAAAAACTCGCAAAAAAGCCGTTCCTATTCTTGCGAAGAAAATATAGGATTACACTTCATTATCTTGCTAAAGTGTAAAATGTACCGTCGGCTGTGCCGTCGTCGTAAGCCGATCGTTATACTTCAAGTATACGTAAATATATTCCTGTAAATATATCCTTGTCAATAGCCGTGTCCGCCATCGCGCGGGACTATAAAAATTCTTTGTGCTCACGCAAATCGTTAAAATTTAAAGATTCACGGGAAATTAATAAAATGTAGTTTAGAAGAATTTGAAAAGGATCGGTAAATAAAGAAATTCTTTGCAGCTCAGTTATTCTCTCGCAGAGAGTTGTTCTTGCGTAGAAATCAAAGTTCCAGTTACGAGGGCAGAATCGACTTCGCAAACACACCACTTGACTTAATTCGAAATTGTAATAATGATAACGATGATTTTGGCATTCATGTTTAATACACGAGTCGACATTAGACACGGAATAGCAGGTTTGTTAAAGATTAACGGCACAGTTAAATGAACTTGCAAACTTCGCGCCACACACGTTTCCTTCTATGTATATTCGCGGATGGAACTGTATTAGACTGCAATCTGGACCGTTACGATTGAACGCCCCCAAATCGTATGAAAAATGGGCCAAATTGGTCAAATTGGCTGAAATTGTGTTATTTTGTATATTATAAGACGATCAAAAGTTTTCTTAAGCAAAAATATAAAAATGGATAGATTTTGTTGTAAAGCCATATTTGAAACTCTTACAGAAATCTAATGTTAGCCAATACTGAAAACAATAATTAATTACTTATTTTAAGTACTAAAAGCTGTTGTTTAATATACTTTTAGTACTCCAAATAAATAATTCATTACTGTTTCTCAGTAATAAATTGGCCAGTATTAAATTAGCTGTAGTATTAGATTTCTGTAAGGAAAATTGCTATTTTGGATCTAATCGGACTGAAAAGTATCATTATCTGTTAAACTATTCTTTTTTTGATAACTTATACTTCTATAAACAAAATAATAAGATAAATTAATTGATCTAAAGGAAACACATAATTGTTTTTAAAAAATGTAGTTTGCAAGTACGTATATTGTATTTTTGTAAATCGCATATTTTTTTGAAAAACGACTACGTATTTTCTTTACATCAATTTATCTTATTCTGTGTGCAAAAAGGGATTAAGATACAATTATCAAAAAAATGAATAGTTTAACAAATAAAGATACTTTCAAATATTGCTACAGCAATATCTGTCTATTTTGTATGATTTTGCTTAATCCTTCGTGGACACACAAGAGGTAAAATGACCCCAACATTTTAATTGATTGCTGTATTCACAGATTTTGTTCTTTAAAATTACAAAAATTGCTAAACATACTTTAAACATTGTAGAATATGGAAATACAGCGGCTTTTTAAAGAATTTGTAATTTTAACATACAATATTTGAAAAAAATCGCAAAGGCTGACGTCCAAGGAACAACATGCGGTTGAAGGTGCAGGAAGGGTATTTTAAACTTCGGATAAATGACAGTTTAAGTCCCGTTTTAATAAAAATCCTTAAAAATATAAAGCCTCACACCTTTTTGGGGTCCTCTGGACCCCAAGTGACCACGAAGGGTTAAGGAAATTTTTAATCAGTACTTGATAATTTACAAAATATTACAGTTTTATTCTAGTTTAACCGAAGCAACACTATTTTTCACATGATTTGTGCAACGATATAACACATCTGTCTTAGGCTAAAAGTAAAAAAGAAAGGAAGAAAGGGATATAAACCGTCTTTACTCGAAACTTTATTTACCATACGTAGAATTTGCGCTTTCGCGCGCTTGGATTAAACTCTAGGCATATATCCATTTGTCTTTCTCGGACACCAGCGCAACATTTCGCCTCTTCGCGGTTTTACATCTTCCCTCCCTCCCTCTTCACTGCCATCATCGTTCTCGTCGTCGTCGTCGTCGTCGTCGTCGTCGTCGCCGTCGCCGTCGCCGCCGTCGCACGATATCTTCGCGCGAATGTCAGCCGGTCGCAGTCGTTGTAGAGGAGAGACGCGGGAAGAGATACCCCGTTAAAATTCAGCATTTCCGCGCGATGACACATCGGAAATTTTTGCAATATCTCAAATCGCGCGTCTTCCGTTACCGACCTGCCCTGCAGCTCCCACCCCCTTCCCCCATCACGTTGTAGGGCCCTCTCCCTTAGTCCTCCGCGTTCTCCTTATCTCTTTTTCTCTCTTTCACTCTCTCGTTCGCAATGCACCGCGCGATGCCTGAGCTGCGGCTCACAAGGCGATGATTATGTTGCGGCGCGGGTTACCAATACGTGCGCTGTTATGCACATCGGTAACTCGGCTCGTGACTCGCGATCTCGAATAGGCCGCAGGAGTCTCGAGAGTCGCGCTGGAACCTCTCAGGGAAATCCCTCCTCGGAAGACGCGCGTCTACGAGGAATTCACTGTGAATCACCGCGCAACCGAAAGACCGTCCCAACGTACGTCAGAGCTACCGAGTGTGTAGCAACATTGAGGATTTCGCTTGCGGAAGAAGTACCTGCATTCGTCACAGACCGATCGTCCGTCCGCTAGGCTTCCTGACGCCGCGCCGGTGAAACCGGCTCGCCGGGGCTCCTTGCATGAAAAATGCGGGGAATCCTTAGAGTTGTCCTTATCGAACAGAGAATCGAAGATCATGACAGATCGTGACTTGTGTTGTAATATATGATATATAGACGTGCATTTTTTTTTTTTTTTTCCGATGTAACGAAAACCGATAAGGAACGTTGGAGTAAAAAATTACTTGGAAAAGTAGATAAAGGAAAAGGAATACTTAGGGACAATAATGTGAACAAGCGTATGTAAACAAATAGAGGAGGGATACATGGGAATTCCTTTTCTTTTCAGCGCAGTATTTTTTGGATATTTAAATTTAAACAAAATTTCTTTTTGGGCGTGAATCAAGTTAATTATAATTAAATTAATGATAATTTAAAAATTGTATCAAAAAAATGTATTTTTAAACTAAAATATTTTAATACGAACCGTTGGTCGCAAGCAAAACATAAACAATCCTTGTATTTACGCCACTTTGATCCTGACAAATTGAAGGATCATAGTTATGAACATTTTTTTCATAATTTTAATACAATATAGAGAGCGTTTACAAAAGAATACAAAAGAGATGCAGAATTATTACAGAAAAACATTTTTATTTTAATACTGTTTACCTTTCACTAAACCACAGCGGTATAATCTTTTACAGGAGTATAAAAGTACACACGCGTGTGATAATTTTAAAATTACAATTTTATATCGATATCAAATTATCGGTATTTAATACTGTTCGTCTCTTATTCCATAATACATATACATATCAAAAAAAAAATCGTAGAAATAAGCTAAAATTGCATATGTAGAAACTCACAAGTAGGTTCCATGCAAATCACATGTTCGATATCTTAAATTGCATCAGTCACATTATCGGCCAATTAACATATGTAAATTGCAACAAGTACACGCCTTCCGTCGCTCGTAATTATCTCAAAGCTTTTTGCTTATTTCTTTTGCGAAAAAAAATGATATCACTTCGATTGAATAGAACGAATTGAGAACAAATTGTCGTTACATGCTGCACACATAAACAGAGTTCGGAATAAATACCTGCATAAATAAACGGATAAATAAATAAATAAATAAATACAATAGATAAATATGAGTGAATGAATGGATGCTGACAAAAAATAAATAGGCGAGATGGGGTACAAGATGTATGCAATAAATAGATAATGTGCGTCAATCGCGGCGGATATTCATGATTCACTCTTGCAATTATCATTATCCATCTAAACGACGCGCGTGATGAATGCGCGATGATAATTGCACTCGGGTACGTGCTACGCGCACGTCTGACCGGATTTAACACTACCTGAGCGATTGGTTGTGATCGAGTACGTGTTTTATCACATTGTTTGGCAACAACACGGCCGAGAGAATCTATAAATACCTAAAGCGTAAACAATAATTTCTTATTCCTATTAGGCGACGTTACACACGTCACGGCACTTGAATCGGTATCTTATATACTATCCGAGAGATGCTTAGACATTGCAATTCGACATGAGGCCCGCAGAAAGGTCCTGGAAAAAAGAACGGAACGGAATTGTGTGTGGTACTTTTTCCACCGCAATCTCTGCTTCTCTTTCAACACCAGTTTCATGCACCAAAAAGAATTCTTGCTACTTATTCGCTAATTTTTTTCTCCCCTTCCTCTCACTCTGAATTTATTTTCAAAGTGAGTTGTAAATTTTTCGGAACGTACGTCAATTCGCTTCGCCACGGCTCTATCATTCCAGTTCTAGTTTCCATTGTTTCGATTGCTCTTGGTGTTACACCCAAGTTTAGTACAGCGTGAAAACTTCTAAAAGACATTCATAGAACATTTTAAGAATGTACGAATATTTTTAGAAACGAAGAATCCATTAATATGCTATCTGAGCAATAATGTGTCGGAGGGACGATCGCGATTTCGTTGGCTACGCATGTATATTATCGACTGCGAACGAAGTCTCGGAACGAAGGGGGCAAAAAACTGAGAAGAGATCCATCTTGGAGCGCTCGTACGCGCACGCTGCGGTTCCGCTCTTTTGTAACTTTCTCCTCCCACCGTCCCGCCGCAGTTCCGTAACTCCCCGTCACCGTTCCAACGTCAAACGTTTTAAGTAAATCTATTACGTTCCCGGTATTCGCGCGTCACTAGACGCAATCTTCAAACAAGTTCCTGCGTAAAGAGAGAAAAAAAAGGAAGATGTCCGTTCGTCTACGGATTGCCAATTGCAAGGTCATCATTCGCGACAGCACAGTTGCGTTTTTTTTTTTTTGCTTCGTTTCAATCGCCGTCTCTCCTTCGAAGACGCGTCTCGCTCGATTCGCGCCGGTTCGAAGATCACCGCCACTGATCGTCGCCACCGTGGCGAATTCATCACCGAAGCGAATCGTCACTGCTCCCCAGTCTCTCCCCCGAGTGATCCCAGCGAGCTCTCGGTGTCAATCGCTGATGGATATCTCCGAGCCCATCATACTATCGAAGACCTGAAGGGCACACACGCAACCAACGTAGAGCTTCATTGTCTCTGTGTCGCCGTCGCCGTAAGATACCTCGATGTTCCTGTAAGTCTGTATGCAGCAATAAGTGCCGGTGCCCTGACAGCTGCTGCCGATGTGATTGCACCTCACGTGCTCCAGATCCTTCGGTACCCGGGTACCGCGGGTGTCCGGGATCGACTCCACGGTGTAGTTGCAAATGGAGCTGTTCTGCGCCTGCTTCACTTCCAGCTCGAAAACTTTTTCTTGCACCCTAAGTTCATCCTCGAATCGCCAGGTAACGTCTCTCGGATTGAATCTGTGATAGCTCGCGACAGTCCCAAATTTGTTGTGACGTTTTCTCCTAGCGACGAATCTCATCGAGAGCGCGTTAAAGTCGTTGTGCTTGCGCGGAAAATCCTTTCGTAAAGACCCGCGATCTCTCGAATCGTACTCGTGCTTGTATCGATGGAAGGACATTGGTACTCGCTCCTCCGAGTCCTCCCCGTACGCCAAGGAACGATCCAGGACTTGAGGATATTCGCGGCTCTTCTTCCGTCCTTGAAAATCATGGTAGTACTCGAGATCGTCGTCGAGACGTCGACCCGATAAATCTCGTGGCAGCGATTCCTCGAAATTGTAATAATTCAAATGAGAATGATGTCCGTGTCGTCGTCTTAGACTCCGACCTTGAACGAGCGGTATGTTGACGATGACATAGGCAACAAGAACAGGCAGGCAAGATCTGACGCTGAATATCGCCATTGTGTCGATCTGATAAGTTCAAAGTTTGCACAAAAAAGATCTCCTTCGAAGATTGGCAGTCTTTGTCGATGGCTGTTTTTTTGTTCTTCTTCTCCTTCCTCGTCTCTCGATAGCCCGGAATGGATCTCAGCTTCTTCCAAGATTTTTCGTCACATATAACTTTTTTCCAACTCAACCTCGGGATTTCTTTTCTTTTTTAATGTTATTCTTATCACGTTTCTTAATCACAGTGGAATAATATCTTTTCATTTGAATATCCTTCTCCCTCTATCAATGATGTCAGCTTGTCTCTTCCGGATACTTTTCGAGTAATAATACAATCGTGATGGAAATAAACGATTGCAATCAGAGATTGCAATCAGAACCGTGATTCAATGAGATTTTTTTCAAAACTTTTAACTGATCAATTTTCCCACTGAAAATGGATTATTTCCCGGAATTATTTTGCGTTTATTGAGCTTTTTTTGAAATTCAAAGTCTAGCGAATCTCAGCGAGACATTGGAAAACGTGAATGCGGCGCACAGTATTTCGAATTGAAATTTTTCAGGCTCGACCGGCCGTTCGACGGATCTTCCGACCGATGTGACGTAAGATGATAATGATTTTGACGATCTAACAATTTTTTAGCCTGACTACCGGGCGATTCTCTGTGATGATTCGCCAGACGAAGTTTCGCACGCGAAGTACTGACCAGCGCAAGATTCTCGCGAGAGTCTCGGTGACTTTCGGAATTCCCGACGCGAAACTTGTAAGATTGGAGGGACTAGGCGATTGTCTCTCTCTTCGTCTCGGTTCGATCGTCTCGCTTAATGGTTTGCTCAAAACTGAGTATTCCCTGATCCCCGAAGGATTTTTTATCCTGCCTGCGAAACGTGGGTGGTGTTGCCCCACTTTAACGGGGGCTTGCGCGTGCCGGTACACACAGAAGACATGACTAATCCCCCCCTCTCCTTTCATCGGCATCTTGTGCAGCCCCCTGCCAGGGTGCCGGGGCCAGGGCCGGGGCCGGGGCCCCGAGAACTGACGAGAGTTTCTTCTACGGTCGCGCGCGGCGGCACGGCACGGCGGCGGCTTCCTCTTCTTCGAGGATGCGCGCCCTCCTCTTTGACGTCAAAGCTTCGTTCCCTCTCGATGAACCTGTCGCACGTTCCTCGTCATCGCTACTCCGCCGCCTCTGCCACCGCTGTCTGTTCCTTTAAACATGGATTTAGTATCGCTGGCCAACCTCGGGTATTGACGTCACACCTTGGTGTAATGCCCATCTATAGCGGAAAGAGGAGAGACCGAGTGTCTCGTGCTTCGCGGAATCTCGTCCTCAGCAATATCCTCACGTATGGCACCACGAGGCGCGAGGATGGCGATGACGATTACGCGTGACGAGAGTTACTTCGAAAGTAGTAACGCAACGCCTTTCCCTTTTGACGTTTACGCGCGGCACAATTTTCTCGCGTTGACGCTCGAGCGTCTCGGATACCGTCGACCTAGTCACGCACGTACCGGCAATTATTTCCAGGGAAAAGATTCCCGGTTACCAATCACCGTCGATTTTTTTCCTACATACTCGGCACTTCAAAGGGATTACCAGTGAGACACTACGCGGAAGGTAAAACACTGGGATTTGGACCGTATCATTCCTGATTTCGCGGGCCCGCATCCTGGATGAAGCTGCGGAAAGGCTTTATTGTATTCAGGGAAAAGTTTGAGACGGTATTTTAGACGCTGGGAGCGACATGGGCCTGTCGTTGTCATCGCGACGCGGCTGCCGAAATATTAAAAGTCGCCACCACCTTGCGAAAGCATTTAAAATGACATTTACATGCAAGAACGCTTGCCCCTTCTATCACTCTCCCTCTCTGGAATAACGCCGTTCTCGCTGTACGTTCGCGTGAACCAGTTGAGGTGGAATCATCGGCCACTCTGGCGGGACATGCCTTCTTTTTTTTTTAAAAGGTCGGAGAACACACATGTCGTAAAAGCGCTTAGCATTTCCACTAACTCTTACCATTACGTTATTTTTTTTTCGTCTAGCGTGAACATATGTGCGCGTGTATACGCGCGAATATATTTCGACCAAAAATAATCCGAAAAATTCCATAAATGTACTAATTTAATCGATCGTTACGAACGGAGATACGTAATATTAATAAAATGAGATTTTCTAATGCGACATAAATACAGCTAAACACATTTTTTTTTAAATATACTTGAAATAATCAAATTTCCATCTAATTCTCTTCAGCTATTTATCAAATCTTTCGTCATAATTTACTTGTATACTATTCTATCGTTATTTCTTTTTTTATTTGTAAAAAAATTCCATCATTTCACTTTTTCTTCATTCAAAATTGAGGTATTAAAGTTATTAAATAATAAGAATACATTAATTTCCTTTTTTTCATATATTTTCAGACTTTAGTTACAATGCCAGATGGTACCAGGATGTCGGAAAAACAGAGAGAAAGGAGAGTAAGAATAAAGCTGATCCCCGATTTCGTAGATTAGAAATTTAATATCCCAGAATAAATATTAACTTTTTCTAAGTCCGTTCATTTTTTGCAAGATCGATGTAGAAATTTGTTCTGCAACATTATTTATGTTATGGTAATGTTGTTGTTATTTAAACATGTCTTCGAATTTTTGGACGAATCCTATTTAACTGCAAAAAAAAATTAATATATTCGTCGACGATATTGCAAAAAATTACACGGAGGAGATCAACGATGGAACTGGTTTTCTAAATGATTAAAAAAACAAATAAAACATACATATAGGGTATTTCGACTTTTTTAATTCTACATATATTTTGATTTTATATTCTATGTATGCGAACACACACTCTCCAAGTATTTTATTGTCATCAATTTTTAATCTGCTGCATTAATTTGCATTATAACGCCTGACTGTATTATTTTTAAGTTTTTTTGGGTTTTGGGAAATGGGACGTATGTTTACGCACTTTGTACAACACATAAAATTTTCGATATTTACTTTTATTCTGCGAATATTCAATTTAAAAAAAGATTCCACAAAACAGATATCAGATGTATAAATGAAAGAGATAAAATATCAAATCTGTAAATAACACACTTCGAAATAACTCCGTTTTTGTTTATATAAATAACTCTGCCGGTAGATCGTTTCTCGTTGGAAAGCTCGCGTGTGTACCGAATTTAAGAACGGAGTACGTGGCGACCGTACAAGCTCTCCTGATGCATTCGTCCATCGGTAGCTGCGGATGATATGCCTTGAAATATGCGAACGCGCCCAAAAATGCATCCCCGGCACCCTATCGCATACCGTTACACTTATGTAGCTGCCTGAAGCAATTCCGTCTTAAATACATGCCAATCATTTGAATGAATCACTAAGTGAATCATCGTTCCAGTCCAGTCCGGAAATTGACCGGTTGTTCATTCAAAAGATTGCGAACCGGAAAATACCATCAAATACTTTCACCGTGAGAAAGAAATTACGAATCAATTTACAAGATTTGTATAAGCAGGAAGTATGGACCGTACGTGTAAATAATAGAAAATGACCGCGTTAAATCTAACAAAAACTTATAGGAAATGTCTTAGAATTATCGCATAATTCTGAGACACTTCATCAAGTTACCAAATAATTAAATTATTAAAATACATGCGTCTTCAAAAGAACGATTTTCTTCAATTTTGTTGAATAATGACTCAAACAATTTATCATGAAATTTATCGTGATTACGACAGTTCTATAATACTGTGTATACATACGGTAGTATCTACAGGATGGACTTCGGTAGTAGAAATTCGCGTGATGTTTCTGTTCATTTTCGACGCGTATGCAGCTCCGAGAGGTCCGAGTGTAAGAATGATTGCGTTGCATCCTTTAGCTAGGAACTTGTCCACTACTTGTTGTATATTCGACAGGTCTACAGGTTGAATGCCCGTCATAATTTCCGCCTACAACAGCGTAATGGAGTCCTTGATGTATTTCAAACGTTATAATGCTTTGGCTCTACTATTTCAGAAAACAAAATTTCAAATTTGGAACATACACCGAGAAAAAGATACTTAAATATTTATTTAAAATATATATTTATTTTATTAAAATAAATCTTTATTTAAATACGCGACGAAATAAAATTTTTATTTCTGACAAATAAACCATCTATTTTATATTTTTACAATTAATGAGATATATTTCATAGAAATGTATATTTCGTCACAATCAAATTTTTTTATAATTAATAAATATCGAAGGAAACGTCGTAAAAATATAATAACATTTGCTTTACAATACTTCGACATTTTTCTCTCAAAATATCTTATAAAATCAGAGTATTCAATCGATTCTTATATTAAAAATCGTCAATAAATGAGATTAGACAACTCAGAAATTCAGAAAATTCTGAAACATTGTGTGCAAGTAGAATAGTTCATCCGTAACACTGAACTATTTTTTGTTCGTGCCATATTACGGTTGGAGAGGGTAAAATCATCCCTTGAAAAAAATGTAGATTTTTTTTTACGGAATAACTGCCGAACGGTGAGAGATATCGAAAAAAAGTTAAATAAAAATTGCATTTCTTTCTTATATCTACAAAACGTATATAAAAAAAAAGTACCGAAAAATCCGTGTTTTTTTATCCTTCTCTCTCTTACCAGTCTTCAAAATTAAGTTTTTGTACTTTGTGAATTTATATGAAAATACTTCTGCGTAACCTCTCTTTTTATACATCATAATCGATTTATTTTTTATTTATTTGAAAAAACTCAATGAATTTTTTAAGTCCGTTTTAACAGTTTTGGTTAATAAAATGTGGTTTTACAAAGCGATATTTAATTATTATTAATATACATTTCAGACAATTTTTAAAATTATTTAAGCAAGATGGTATGTTTTTACAACTGTACAAAAAGATAAAACTAATTAAAGCTAATCAGTGACGTATATGAATCATAAAAACAGCAACGTACGCATATATTATTTGAAGTGTTATTTTATTAGATAATTTTGCAAACTGCCGATAAACAAGATATATCGCACGGAACTATTTTAATATTAAATGACGCAGACTTTACGTCATTTATAATGACTATTGATCATTTGTTACATTAAATGACGCAGACTTTGCGTCGGAATAATTAAATTTAATATTAAAATAGAGTTCCAATATCGTACTTGTTGTGCAATTTGCAAAGTAGTTTGATAAAAATAACACCTCAAGTAATGTATGTATCTTATTATTAAGACCGTATACGTCACTGATGAGTTTTAATTTTCTGTATCTGCAGTTGTGTGTATGTGTGTGTGTACATTATATATATATATATATACACTGTTTAAATAATTGAAAATCGTCTGAAGTGATTTTATAAAATAATATTAATAATAATTAAATATCGCTTTATAATACCAGTTTAATAAACAAAACTGCTGAGACGCAAAAATTCAATGAATTTTTTTAAATAGGTGACACATAAATTGATTATGACACATACAAAAAAAAATTATGGAGACATTTTCGCATAAATTTACAAAGCATAAAAAATTCAATTTTAAAGGTTAATGATGAGAATAACAAAAGTACAAAACAAAAGAAAAACGATTTTTAAATAAGAATAGACTGTGAATAATATCGATAATACCGAATATCGGCCTAAAAGACATCTTAAAGATATTTCTGTCAAAAGACATTTCAATTTTGGACCAATTGTTATTTGGGATAATTGACTGTATTATATTGAAAAAATAAAGAAAAATCGTCCTCATTATCTTATCAATTGCACTATTTGTTTACGTACCTCCGTCTCATTGACGCAAAAAATGTCACATAATCTAAGAATTTCCGGATCAGGATTTTCCAGTGCGGGCGCTCCGTTGACAATAGAAAGTCCTATCATTACATTACGCTTACATAAAATTATATCCATAGCTCTCTTGGAGCGATATCGTTAATCCTTATCTTTTTTAGGACTTACGATAACACAGCTTAGAAAGGTATAGTTCGGATATTTCTATATGGAGAAAAAAAAAAGCGAGGAACGAACCGTGGCCCCGATGTAACTTCAACGCATGCAGCGTAGCTTCCAGCGGCACCTCAAACTGGCATAATAAAATGCTCGCGCTTTGGATCACGTCGACGGTGGAATCCACAAATTCCGGAGTCAACGATTCGTTTGCACCTAACACGATTACGATGCTGTTCTCACCTGCGAACGTTATTCGAAAGGTGACTCGATTATTTACTGATGGGACCAAAAAAATTATCTTAACGAGAAGTTAGAAATTAATTCCATTAGTCCTAATGATATTAATGATTTATTCAGAATCAAAGCTACTTGTTTTTCCACGTAAACAATTTCAAAGTACTCGAAAAGACTCTGATTTATATTTTTACTATATCTAAAACGTACCATTTTCAGCAACGGTAATGTGAGCAATACCGCTCTGCTTATCACTTTGTATCTTCACGCGAGATGCGTCTACATTTTCCTTTCTTAAAATCTCTAAATATTCTTGAGCAAATATGTCGGAACCTAACTGCGATAAGAGATAAGGAATATCGCAATATGTAAGTTGTGAAACAAACCGTAATTAATTAAAGAAAAATCATATAAACAATATTGAATAAAAAAACGAATACTAGCTCACGAATAAAGCCCACTTTAAACGATCTATAATTCACGACCAAATTCGAGATAGAATTCTATGTAATAAATATTGCGTGTCGTGTAACATAGAAAACATCTGAAAAAGTAAAATACACACATATAGAAAATATATATCAGTGATATATATTTTATATGTATGTATTTAACTTCTTCAAATGTTTTCTATGTTACACGACACGCAATATTATAAATAGACTTCTATCCCGAACTTGGCCGTAAATTATAGTCACTATAGATCGTCTAAAATGGACTTAAAAAACAAAAAAGCCAAATGTGACACGTTGACTCCATGTAAAAAATAAATGCCTACTGAAGCAATAAGTGCCGTAGATCCACCAAGTTTAGCAGCTGTTACACACTGATTGGCGCCTTTACCACCGTATTTCTTTTCAAATCTAGTCCCGATTATCGTCTCGCCAGGTTTCGGCAACCGTGAAGAGAAACTAAAAAGCAATAATGTTAAAAAATTATAATACGAAGTTGAGAATAAATCTAATTAAGTAGTCCTGTGTATTCGGTCAAAGCGAATCTTAGTGCTTAAATATAATATTTTGGTGTGAATTTATATACATATTCAATTCTGCAAATCGCGCGCGCCGAAATCTTTTCCAGTCTTGAAATGGAATTATGAACAAAACTAAAGTAATAACATCGTATATTAAATTGACAAGTAATTTAATAATTGATGCTAATAAGCGTCTTATAAGAATATTAATAATTTGATGTTAATAAATATCTTAAAAACCTTTCAATAATTTTATTGTAAAAAATATCTCAGCCGAGATTCAAATCCGGATCTCCCATAAAGAAATGATAATAGGTCTGTTTTTGATTGCTGCACTCTGAACTGGTGCAATAAGTTGAAGTGAAGCAAACGTATATTTATTTTATTTCAACTTATTGCATTGTACTAGCTCAGAAAATCAGCAATAAAAAACAGACTAATATTACGATAGATTGTGACTATATATTATATTTATTATATTATATATAAAATTAGATTTGGCTTTCTTCAATTAAGCGTGTTAAACAAAATTATAAATTACTGCAATGCACAATCACAGTAAAGAGAAAGCATCTTTCTTTGCGCAATTTTTAATTATATTTATTATCGTAATTACATACAATATTTATTACAACACAAATCACAATGTAATTGTAATGTTAATAATTAGGGATCGATCGACCATGAGAGTGTCAGCTTTTGCAACGTGCGAAAAGCTTCATCCTTACTCACCTGGTAAAGTCAATCATGCACGAACCGACAACGACTATCTTTGGTGTCATATCGCACAGTTTTTAGTCTCTCCTTCGCTTATACTTGAATTTTCTCGAGAGCAATCAACTCTAATTATTAAAATAAACGTTATTTTCTGAAACGTGATGCTTGCAACAATGATTATTTCTGAGCAGTGTCTAATCGCAAGTAGAGTGCACAGACGACTCGCGTTATCGCTGTTTGTCGTTTAACGAGTTCGTAAATCAATAGTGAGATGTTATCGCAGTTATCGGTCGAAAGATCATTTTTTGCGCGTGATCCAACGTATGTACCGCGTGTGGAGCCTCGTGACGGTGACGAGACTCCCAGAGGAAGAAATAAGAGAAATACCGCAGACACGTGAATTAATTTAAATCCGCCGTCTATTACAAGAATAGAAATAAAAAAGGGGCTTTATTTACAGCAACGTTTGCCTTGACGGGGACAGGTTATCTTTCTTCTTTTTTTTTTACAGTTATCATATCATATATCAGGACGAAGTCACACATTTGCGGTAGACTATCGAAATCAACTTGCACCGCTAGACAAGTGTTTAAATATACTCGACGATCGTTATAAATCTCGCGATGGAAAAAACAGCGCGCCTACGTGATCACCCACGTATGTACGCAAGTTTTGGAACGTCTTCAGACTTGACATCACCATGCATTATCGAGAACGATAGATAGGCAGCCCGGAGTAACGAGTTCCGAGTTACGTTATGGCAAGTATCTTCTATTGTCCGTACTGCATTGGCAGTCGCCATATTGGGTACATTCAGTACTACAACCGCTTACAGAGCGCTCAGCTCTTGCATTTGATAGGCATGTTCCGTTAGATCTAAAAATATAGACCAAACAAGTGCAAGAGCTCACTGAGCTCGGTGAACGATTGTAGTACTGAATGCACTTACCCATTGTGCTACATGAGAATCCGGTTAGCTGTTCATGTACATGCTAAAGCGATATAGCCCAATAGTAATTACTTAGTAATAATTATATTGCATGTGCTGCATTGCATAATTTTTAAATTAGAGCTGCCGTATATAGAAAAACGTAAACTAGCAGTAGGCAATTCGATTAATCGCAGTCTTGCGTTTTCAAAAATTCTCAATTACTACGATTGGTACATTCGCTTGCTTAAGGGTCTATCCAGAAAAAAATATGCATAGCTGCATAACTAAACAAGATAATTATCCAATCGCATAAGTTTTATTAAAGATACACGATAGAATATGCGATAATTTTTTTTACGTATACGTTTATGCAGCTATGTAATAGCGTATTTGATTTACTGACTCGATCTAACTCCAAGTTAATGGTCTGTTCAGTTTAGCTGCTAAAGAAGAGCTAAACTGTGTAAGAAATGCAGCTAAAAAGAACAGACTGTTGACTTAATCAGACTGTTGACTTATTTAATCTAGATAAGCCTTTTATAATTTTACAGTTATGTTCTGTTTCCAAGTTCTTAAATTTTGTATGTATGTATTCATGATAGTGTAGAAATTGTTTCGAGATTTCAAACGAAGAAAGAACTGATCATTCGCAAAATTGTTTAAATGCGATTTATTAATTTTTTTCTTCGTTCGAGATTTTGGAGAGACTTATTTTATTAGTAGATACAAGACTTTAATGATAATCGATTAATAATTTGATTTTGTGGAGTAAATCGTCGTTTTAATCTTCCTTCTTTATGAGATATTTAGGCTACATTGTTAAGGATCCTCTACATAGAAGTCGTAGATGGTCGTGAAGTCTTAAGTCGTAGGAAACCAATCACAATCAAATATAAGGAGAATATTCTTATCAATTAGAATTGGTCAGTTTCTTACGACTTAAGACTCCACGACCTTCTACGACTTCTATGTAGAGGATCCTTTAGAAAATGTTTTCTTTACATGTAAATGAAGCTCGTGATGAATGAACAAAATTAAAAGTAATGAATGGTTTAACTGAAAACTAAGTTACACAATAGTTACTTAAATATAATAAACGTGTACATTAAATTTCATAAAATTTTATAAAAAGTACATTAAATTTTATAAATTTTCATAAAAAAATATATTAAATTTAATGTAATATCATAAAATTAAATTCAAACTATGTAACTTAAAAGTACATACATTAAATTTCATGAAATTTTTAACAGCTTGTAGGGGAGATCGGGGCAGATTGTCAAAATGCTTATGACTCAAACATGATGTCGCAGAAAAATCTGTTTTTTTTTTACTATAGATTGTTGATGTAATATTAATTCATGATATAAAATGATTTGCATCAAAAGTTATTGTGTATATTATTTATAACAACTTTTCAGAAAATGAAGTTGGTGAATAAATTTTTCTTATCTTCTATTTTGTTGTCTGATAACGTTTTAGCATTATCAATCAAGATTTCTGTGTAATCAGAGAAAATGACATGTCTTAGACAATTTTTGCTGTAGTTAATTAATCATTATTCTCATAAAGTTTATAAATATAGGCCGGTATTCATAGTCAGATCTTTTATTCAAGACTATCTTAAATAAGGTCTAAGAAGTCATGAACCAATCAAGAGCCGCATTAGCGTTTTAAGACATTAAGACGGTCTTGAAATAAAAATCAATTATGAATACCGGCCATAATTTTTTTTACTAAAAACGGTCTTATAAGTTAGATCACGATGTAAGAATACTAGGTATATTATTGCGCATAATGGCGGCAGCCTTGTGGGACAGCCAATCAATGACCGACTACAAAGCAGCCGCGTAATTTAAAGCGTTAAGTGTTATGAATAAAGAAAATTAAGGTAAATTAAAAAAAAAGTAAGAAAATTTAAAAAAAAGTAAGGAAAATTTTAAAATTAATTAATTTTTAATATGAAAAAGCCTGCTGACATGCTACACTAGAAGATTGGCGGCAGAAATTGAGCTAGATTTGCAATTCCTCCTTTGATTTCTGCTGCTATCTGCTGGCTGATATAGAGTAGATTGTAAGTGCGCTCTACAAAAAAGGAAACAAGTAATTTTTTTTAATTATTGCATTTATTTATTTACCCCAAACCATAACTTAACTTAACTTTAAATGGTTCTACTTTTGAGGTAAATATACTATTGATATTATATATAAACATACTAATAATAAGACAAATTAAAGTTTATATTTTTGTAAAATAGAAACAAATATACAAGGCTCTATTCTAAAATTTTGTTTTATTTTAACATCAATGTGACTCTGATTATAACACGTAATTTAAAGGATAAGGATGTGATAAGTGATGAGCGACGAGCAATATCCAACTCTACTTTTTCTCTTGTGACGATGCAAAACAGAATTTTTATTGGATATCGTTCGTCGCTCATCGCTCATTCGCATCTAGAGTTCCTCTAGTAAGAGTTAAGACACCGAGTAATGATATTTATTGGTTCCGCCACTAACGATTGGAGATTGCGTCTGTATTTACGTTTAAATCCCTTGACCAATCAAAACAAAACTACTGACCAGCAGGTCCTTTCCGATTGGTCAAAAGATGCAAACGCAAACGCAATCTCCAATCGTTAGTGTAATACCGGCATAAGACCTGTAGCCAATCAGCGTGTAGTTTTTACGGAAAAATGGCAACACATTTTTCGGTCCGAAAATTCGAATCCGAGAAAATCCGAGAAATCCTTCTGAATTGGCTTTTTGATAAGATCGCAATCTTAGTTTGAATCGATATTTTCAGTATTCCGAGTGAAGGACCACTTTCAAACCATATTTCAAACAGACTGACATCACTGACATGCACAGACAATTTCGTATACAAAAAATACACCTAAATTAATTGCTTTTTCTTTTTCCATACAAACATCAAATGCTAGTAAGTCATTCCAAATTAATCGCTCTCGATCGCCCGAAGGATTAATATTTACTGCAACATCAATCGGAAATCGATGAGTACCACGACGTTATTAAAATAGCTATGGGTAATTTACTGTTTACAGGTTTGTGACAAGCGGTTTCTATCTATATAGCATTGTTCGTTTTGTCTCTCGAAAGCTGCTTGGGGTCGCTCCGAATGAACTTGAAATGTAGAATTCACACTATATACGATATTTATCATACAACGTTCGACATTCATTGTAACAATGAACGTATGTACGTGTGAATCCTATATTTTAAGTACGCTGGGTTTATTCGGAGTAACTCCGAGCAGCTCCCGAGAGACAAAATAAACAATTCTAATAATTCATCTTAGAACAGTCGGAAATTTTTTTACGCATCAATGTACTGTTCACCTTCTATCTGAAATTTATATTTTTTTACTATTTCTTTTTGGCGCAAGCATTTCATTCTCAAATTTTTTCGTAATAAAAGAAGATAGTATCCATTCTTCCTAAAATAACTTGTTAAAAAACTACTTGATAATGTAAAAGAGAAGTTGAAAAGTAACTCTCTAAATTTTTTCACATTTTTGGAAAGCCTAGAACAGAAAAAGAAACTTTAACTAAACGGAGGGAGTAAAAATGTATGATCTTCACGAAGAATTAAAATTCAATTTCAATTCGTCAAAATTAATAAAAATAAAATAAAATTTTAATTAATCAAAGTTGTCGTAATCAATGAATGAAGACAAAATTACAAATAGATATGTAAACGACGGAAAAATGTTAGAATTTTAGGGTAAAAAATTCGGAAATTAATGGTTTTTTTCCTTCAGCTTTGACAGTTTTTTACTCGGATATTTTTTTTTTAGATCATTTATATCTGTTTGCATTGCATGAAATTCCCCAAAATTTTTACACTTGAAGTGATACGATTAGAAAAATAGATTCGGGCGTTGAAGGAAGAGAAAGCACAGATGCTGAATGGAAAGAGTGCAAGCAACGCAAACAGACCTATTAACCTATTATCAACTCATCCAGAATTGCAATAGCATAATATAATATTTCCGCATAATATAATATATTAATAATATAATATTTCCGCTTCGATATAAAATTATAAAGACAAAAGTATTAAAAAGTATCGAAATAACAAGAAAAATGAATTCTATTTCTTCTTCTATTATATAGTATTTAACATGAATTCTGTATGTTTTTACACACAAATTTTATATAATTTTATATAGTATTATAATTCAAAAATACCGTTTTTTACAGTAAAAAAAACTAATTTTTTTAATTGATACTTTTCTCCGAAGTTAAAAATACCTTTTCTTTACATTTCTAATTACAAATAATCATCGAGGTCAATGAATTCAAATTTAATTACATAAATATAGAAATTGTCAGTATATAATTGAATTGAATTGAATATTTATGCGAATGCGCATTTCACACGCTATTGCTCTTCTCTCCTTTCTCCTCTTCCTCAAACCCCCACTCTTCCACTGTAAAGAACTCGATATAGTCGATATAAAGTGAAGGAGTCACATCTCCCTTTCTTTCTCTCTCTTTTGCACTGTGTTCTATATTCTTTTTACAAAACTGTTACACAATTGCTCGAACTTGTTCCAGGCCGTCTAAAAAGGCAACAGAACATGACGAGTCCGGTCGTGATTTCAGCTACAGCTAAGCATACGGCAACGGTAGATATCAAGATATCCTTTCGAGAGTGTAATGGCAGTTTTTGGTTATATCATTTGCGGTGGTGCGATCCTAATTGGTCATAGATGAATTATATTTACATTATGCAAAGTACTCTCGTTGCGCCCTTTTTTTTTTTATCTCTTTCTGATATGATCGTCGACGAACGCACTGCTGCTCCGTTTCATTGCTCGCGAATCGATTTCATAGTCGGCTTTTTTACGATTGCATGTCTTTCGCGAGGCAATTGTCTTATCGGATACAAAACACTTCACGTAGCTTTTTACGAGGACGAAACACTGTCGCCAGTCTACTATTTTCACTATTTAACACTTTTTCAGTAAAGTCACGTGACACGACTTGTCTTGAAACACAAATTTTAGAAAGTCTGAAATTTTTTTAAAGATTACCTCTGAATAAAGCCAACACTGCCTTATGTTATACTAAAGAGCATCTGTGTTTCAGCTAATATTTTTCCATGGCTTGGGTGATACAGGGTAAGTTCACGTTTCCAATATTTATTATAATTTGGAACATTGCAAAATGACATCTTGCTAACATTCTATATATGTTGTTTTCAGGCATGGTTGGGCCAGATCCATGGGTGCGGTGCGATCTCCTCATGTTAAAGTTATTTGTCCTACTGCGTATGTCAATATCTTTAGATGTTCAATGATGAAACTGCGACCCATATTTTGTAGCTCTTAACAACAGTGTCGATGTCATTGCATTGTTGTTTTGCAATTTTTTTTAACTACATGTATAAAATTTATGCAACGATATCAACACTATTCTAAGTCATATTCTAAAACGTCTTATCCAGAAATTTTTATTCAAAATATAAAGTACATATAATGTATATTATATTATATTGAGTAAAATTTTCCTTGGAATGTAGCCCTGGTTTATACCAATCGTTTAATATCTATACCAATCATAGCAACTTTTAATTAAATTATTTTAATTTCGGCGATGCATGCAAACATGCATGCATACATGGTACATGTATTTAATTTATCATCTTGAATTGTGATCTTAATATTATTCTTTAAACGCACCATTGAAATTAAAATAATTTAATAAAAAGTTACTAGTTGGTACAAGTATTAAACGATCGGTATAAACCAGGTATAACTTAGGCCATTGTTAAGAATTTAAAATAGAAGCTTGTGTAAATTAATAGTATTTTAATACATGATTTTTTTCTATTTCAGACCCACAATGCCAGTAACGCTTAATGCAGGGTTTAGAATGCCTTCCTGGTAACTTTAAAATGAATATAAGAATATATTCTCATAAAAACAATGAATTACAAGTAGAGTTTATATAATTATTAATACATCCTGTGAATCTAGGTTTGATCTACGCACTCTGGACTCCAGTGGTCCTGAAGATGAAGAAGGTATACGTGCAGCCGCTCAAATAGTCCATTCATTAATAGCGGAGGAAGTTGCAGCTGGGATTCCTACCACACACATAATTCTAGGAGGATTCAGTCAAGGTGGAGCACTAGCCATGTACAGTGCCCTTACATTCCCAGAGCCTTTAGCTGGTATTATAGCTTTATCTGCATGGCTTCCTTTACATCAAAAATTTCCAGCAGTATGTATCACTTTGTATTACAATACTTTTATGTATCATATATAATACTTGTAGAATTGTAATTGTAATATTGATTTTTATTTTCAGGAAGCAATAGGTAATAGGAACACTCCACTGTTGCAATGTCACGGCGATTGCGATCCAATTGTGCCATATAGATGGGGTCAAATGACAGCATCTCTTCTAAAACAATTTATGACACAGACAGAATTCAAAACATACCGAGGAATGATGCATACATCTGAGGAGGAGGTAATGAAGCTTCAATTGAGGAAAAAATTCGTCGAATCTTCTTATATTTAGGAAAATTATTTAACATTTGTCTCTTTTTTATTATTTTTACAGGAAATGCGCGACGTAAAGAAATTCATCGAAAAGGTTCTGAAGCCGTAATAGATCAAATTGACGTATATTGATATTTTATCGGCTACTTCAAGTATCTAACTGTACATTATATTGAAATAATTCCAATTTTGATTCCAATCTGATTATTTAATTTTAGTAAATTATATGAACTTTAAAGACGTCAAAAGAGAGAGTAGAATATCATTGAAAAAAATCTTCCAAGATATTGAGATTCAATGCTACATAGAAAAAGTATACTTTCCTATAGAGGAATATATTTATTTAAACATCCTTTAATTTGTAACTGTATATTCAAACACTTCTTGATATTTTAATGTACCAAAGCATTCATATAGCAATATTACTGAATTAATCCATGCATAGTCCTTAATCCTTTTAGTATCTATAAATTGGCATTCCTTGCTTTTTTTATATTTACAATATATATATATGTGTGTGTGTGTGTGTGTGCGCGCGCGCGCGCGCGCGTGTATGTGTATATATACACACATACACATATACATTAAATATACATATATATTTATAGATTTATGTATATAAATATGTATGTATCAAAAACTACATTGTATTAATTTATAAGACCACTAAGTGTGGTAATGCATTATTTAAAGATAGCACGAAGGTGACTCATGTTTATTCATTTTTGCGGTTTATCTACGACAATAGTAATTTACAAATAAACTTATGTTAGATTTAAGATAATGCTAAGTTATGTTAGATAAAGAGCTTCTTACGTCAGCTCTTCTGTCGATAACTTCCAACTATTTCGCGCCTAAATTATGTTTCGGATAATGTTTATTTGGATACAAACCAAACACGTCCACGAAGCACTTAAATAATTCGCGCATTTGAGAAACTGTGAGCCTTTTACATTCAAATTTCTATTTCACACGATTTATGCTCGCGACATAACATGAAATGTTGCTGCTAATAAAATCACTTTTGTAGCGAGTATTGTCTAGAAGACAGTGACACGGCCATGTAATCTGTGATTACGCATTGTATTATCGAAACCCATCAATCCATCATCTATTATTAATATAGATCAGGGTTTCCTAAATTTTTTTCTGAACTGTTTCTAATGTTTCTATGCGAAATTTTATGAGGATTATTTAAAGAAATTTATAAATAGGAATAATGTAATCATACAATTTACAGACATTTCCAGCTTCAATAGAATCATACGAAGCAGTATATTCTTTCAATATTTTCGTTATTGTTTCTATGGGAAAAAAATCTTCAAAAAATAAAAAGATCAATCCTTACATATGTGTACCTCAAGTTTGGGAAATCCTGTGATATGTCACAAAATAGTATATAGATATAGTATTAAAATACAATGTAAAATTATATTATAATGTATATAAAACTATGACACTCGGCTAATTTTATTATTATTGAGTATTAACACGTTATCCAGTAGACAAATAATCAGTAAAGAAAGAACAATAAGCTCCAAGTATTTTTCATGAATTTTCTTTACCAACTTACACTTTATAGTTAGCAACAGATAGAACATTAATTCATAAGTTATGTAATAATGCCAGTATAAATAAAATAGAAACATGCAGAGAATTTTTTTGTTACATAATTACAATGCTCATACTAATATCTATACACGATGTGTGTACGTACAAAAGTAAAATACTCATGCTATTACACTATCAGTATTATTATATAATTTTATCAATGTTTAAAACATAATGTTTAAAATATAATGGCTGATATTCATAGTTAGATCTTATATTCCGTTTTAAGTACAGTCTTAACAAGCAACGAACCAATCAGAAAGCCATATTACCATCTTAAGACATTACTTGAGACAGTACTTGAAACGAAAACCGACTATTAATACCGCCCAATGAATGCTAAAGATAGAAAGACACAATAGCACATTCTCCGAAGACATAGTGGAATCAGAATTTTTTAACTCCATAGATAATCCGAGATGACTGATATTAATAGTATGACTAACATGAGTAAGCTGTTTATCAGCAAAAAGAATTGGACTTTGCTCGTAATATACATAAACTTTCCGCTCTATCCTTTCAGTTTATCTTTGAAACTCATTTTGGAGCAGTTATATATCTGTATTTTGGAGCATATTGCATTAGTATTATCCTTAAAACGAAAATAAATAGCTTTTGAACACTTATTAACCAAGTTAACCCTGAAACAGGCATTAAAATAAAAAAATAAGAAGTTTATTTTTTAAGCTCTGCAACAGACAATTTGTATTTTTACTTTATAATCTATTATCTTAATAATTATATTACTTTATAGTATATCAAACGGCATTTAACTTTTTCTATATTGTATCACTGTAAGTGGAGAGGCAGGCGACTAAGTGCCAAGTAAAAACAAGGTTATACTAGCCTAATTGTGCGAATTTTAAATTGCGTTAAAAAAACTTTTTAGTATGGCACATGTAAATTCATCTATTCTAAGTACTTTAGAAAATGGAATTCAAAAAGTGGTACTTAATAAACCCGCCAGAAAGAACGCGCTTTCACCTCAAGTATGTACATAAAAGATATTTGACAGCGTTAACCTCTTGTGGACTGGCAACTCCGTTTAGGATCACCTCACCTTATTTTATAAAATACTTGCTCAATTTTTATAAAATTTAATTTGATCTAAAGAATAATAATAGATAATTTACTTCTAATAGTTTATTTTTTCATTTAAAATTCGATATTTTCAGACAACATTCAACCTCAGAGATATCAAATTTCACAATGATCAGATTAGATTTTTGAAATTTGAATTCTAAGAATTGAATTTAGCGAACCCGAAAAACCTTTAAAAAGCAAAAATCTTCTATAAGTTACTTAAGAAAATTCCGGTCCTCAAAGGTAAAATATAAAAATTTTATATGAATTTCCTATATTGATTTTTTTATAGATGTATAAAGAACTAAAAATGCTTTTAAATGAATCTGCTGAAAACAACAAAGTATTGATATTTGTACTGACAGCAAATGGAGATTTTTTTAGCAGTGGCAATGATATAAGTGCCTCAATGGAATCTCTTTCGGTTTCTGTTAATATAGTTAAGTAAGTATTATAAGAAACATGAAAAATTTATAGCTTCTCTCTAAATATAGAAATTAAATCGACAAATATATTTTGCAGGGAATTAATTGATGCTATAATTATGTATCCAAAGCTTTTAATAGCTGTTGTGAATGGACCAGCAATAGGAATAGCAACTACAATATTAGGAATTTTTGATATAGTTTACGCTTCAGATAAGGTGCCAATTCAATGATAATTCAATATGAAAATGTTTTAGATATTATAATTAGACTGAATATTTAGGCAAAATACTTAACTGAATATTTTGTATAAATTGTATATTTACATATAATCTTAATCTTTTTATTTTATTTATTAATAACTCTTTAACGAACAACGATCGACTACTAAAACTATCCAATGGTTAATATTCAGTTAAGTATTTTTGCATAAATATCCGCCTAGTCTAATTATAACTATATTTGAATGTATTATATAAATTACAGGCATATTTTCAAACACCGTTCAGCTCTTTGGGTCTTGTTGCTGAAGGATGTTCTTCATATACATTCCCAAGATTACTGGGACATTCCAAAGTATTTCATTATAAAATATGTTACAAATTATTTTTCAGATTTGCATTTAAAATTTTGCTTTTTGTAATATGAGATTTCGATATTACATTGTAAAAATATTTATTTAGGCTGGAGATATGTTGTATTTAGGATACAAGATGAATGCTCAAGAAGCCAAACAACATGGTTTGGTCAGTGAAGTGTACAATCATGACTCTCTTGAAGAAGTATGGAATTATTTGAACAAGATATCGACACTTTCTTCACAGGTATTATTTTTGCTTAAGGTTTTCCAAAATTAATTTCTTTTGATATATATGTGCTATTAAATTATAGTAATAGAATTAATCGATTAATTTCAGTCTATATTGGCGACTAAGCGATTAGTGAGTAGATGGAACAAAGAAATTTTATTAAAAGTTAATGAGGAAGAAATAGAAGAGTTGAAAAAACTATTTGAATCTCCTGAGCTAATCCAAAGGATGTTGAATTTCTTGTCACGAAAAAATAAGCTTTAAAATACTTTACGTATTTTTAATAAAGCAAAGACTGCTTTAATACAGCAAAAACTAAATTTAATACCTCAAATATTCACAACGTATACTATGTATAAAATATATAGTTTTATAGAATAACTAATTTTTATATAATTAATTTTAACGTATGATTTATAAAATTCTTCGTCATTTAATTAAATTATTTTCTACATTGTAGAATTTTTAAATATGAATGTTATATTATCACTTACTTCTGTTAACATAATATCCTGTAAAGTAAATGTATTTACGAACATTAAATTATTGAATCTTAATTTTTAATCGTTATCAAACTAAACAGTTTATTACCTGCATAACGTCAGATGGAATTGGCTTTTTGTAATGCTGCCAATCTCGAAGCTGATTTATAGTTAAATTTTGTTGAGATGGTTTCTCATACAGTATAAATTGACAGTCTCGAGTCTCATTATTATTTTCTTTTAATTCTTCAGAAAATATATGTTCATTCTTATCAGAACAAGAACAATTCATTAAATCATGTGTTAACGAAATTGTATCACTTGCCAACGTAAATAAATCCTAAAAATGAGAAATATTTTAAGTAATGATTTTTGTAATACTTTTTCGTAATTATCGAAATCTTTATAATAAAAAATACCTTTAGCTCTGCAGTAGATAATTTTAAAGATCCAAGGTAATTCAGATCCACTACAGTCTCACTCAGATTGGCTTTGCTAATTTGTCTTTGATATATTTTTTCTTCTATCGTACCTGTGGTTAATAATCTACAAATTGGTTTATACAATTATATGGTTATAAAATTATATATACTTCCATTAAATAATACATTATCATGTAATGATATTAAACTTGTACACACCTATAAATGTAAACATTCCTCTTCTGTCCATCTCTCCAAATCCTTGCCATTGCTTGCATATCAGATGCAGGATTCCAATCAGAATCAAATAAAACAAGTCTAGATGCTCCAGGTAAATTCAAACCAACACCACCTGCCTTTGCACTTAGCAATAGAACTTCTGTAAGAATTATTTTTCTGTAATACAGTTTTAATTCATAAAATGTACTAGAAGTACAAGACAATTATATCTCTTCATTTTTACAGAACTTACTGCTATTATCGGTTTGCGTATTAAATTGCTCGGTAATTTTCAATCGTATAGTACTTGAAGTAGCACCATCTAATCTTAAGAATTTTAATCTTTCCTTGTAGCATATGGTCTCAAGAAGATCAAGAGTCTGTGTGTAATAAGAGACTAACACCAATTTCTCATCAGTCTTTTTCAAATTTCTCATTAATGTCTGTACAATTGTGATTTTTCCACAATACTCTGTAAAATTTTCATCTCGTTTTATTTGTGATATATATGATGATTTTGATAAAACGTTATATAATGCTTTCTCTTCTTCGTTTAGGAACAGATTTGGATGGTTGCAAATTTTTTTAAGAGCAGTAATGATAGATAAATGTATGTTACTTTTGTCTTCTAGACAAATTTTGTTGAACCAAGCATCAGTAACAAGAGAATATAAATCTTTTTGTTTCTTGGTTAAAGAGCAAAATAAGACTATTTCATATTTATATGGTAGATATTTGTTTATCGCTTTTTGCGACCGTCTTAAAATAAAAGATTTGGTACGTTTATATAATTCTGCGGATCTTTTATTTCCCAGACTGAGAACATCATCATCGGCAGAAGAATATTGTGCTGTGACAATAGGTTCCTCGTAATAACTCTTGTATTCATTAGATGTGCCAAGAATGCCAGGATTAACAAAATCGATCAGTGCATAAAATTCTTTCAAATCATTTTGTATGGGCGTACCCGTCAAAACAATTCGTTTCTTACAATTTATCTCGTTTAACATCTGCAAGATACATAAAATAACAAATATTTACATTGGCATTAATAACAAATAATAATATTATTAATAAATAATTATAAATCAAATAGATAATTACTTTTGCTGCTTTAATATTGCTATTTTTTAATCTGTGGCCTTCATCACACACAATCAAATCGAAGGCCATTTCATTAATTTCTGTATGACATTTAATGAACATTTCGTAACTAATAATCATGACCGAATTTCTCGGATATTTTATAAAATCTTTAGGCTTATTTTTTCCACCTATAACATATGGAAGTATCCTGTGGGAACCTAACCATTTTACAAATTCCTTTTCCCAATTGTTGCACAAGCTACTAGGTGTTACTATTAATACACGTTTTATAATCGGTTTGCCATATGGACCCTTCTTCAACATTGTCCAAATTAATGTGATACATTGTAAGGTTTTACCAAGACCCATTTCATCAGCCAAGATTGCACCAAAATAATTTGGTACCTTTAGTCCCATTAAACATTCATAAAGAAACACAATTCCATGGCGTTGATGCTCTCTAAGCTTTGTTACTAAACAGGAATCAACCAAGATTTCCTGTTCTTCTTGGTTTATCGATTCAGTAGAATTCAAATAAGGCATCACTAAAGGCTCACTATTTAATGCTAATCCTTTGTAATATATTTATTTATTTATTTAAATCAATGATTATAATGTAATTAATAATTGATATATTATAAATTTGTACCTTTTGTGGATGAAAACAAGGGCATAAATGAATGTGTGGAAGATGCTTTAAACTTATTCTTTGATAGTTCCTCTACTGTTTTCTCAAGACTCTTCTCTGGTATAGATAGTTCTTGTGACAGTTGCTCTATAATCTAAAATCAACTTTGTCAATTTTTCTGCCAATAATAATGCATAAATAAAGATTAATGCAAACTTTACCTCTACTTGTTTATTCCCTATAATTAATCTAGCTCCTTCTACTGCATTACTTGGATTAATTGTAGTTTTTCCAATGATATTATCATCCAAATCCTATATCAGAAGCTTTATATAATAATCTTCAAATTATAAAAGTTTCAGTTGATGTAGTAACTACCTTAAGAATAGCGTTTTTCCCAACAATTTCTAACAAACCATCGCTGTCCCATGTTTTATGTTTCTTCGAAGTTACTTTGCTGACCATCACATTGAACCTGCTGTATTGATATTTATTTATGGCACAAGAGATAAAAATTAATAATTTAAAATTTACTTTAAAAAATTAGTTACGTTTTTATTTTTGCCTCGGGTGAATTTTCAGTTGATGCTTTTTCCTCACAAGCTGTAGCATTTTTATTTTTCTTTGGTGACTGAAATGCACATACAGTGGATGTTTTAAGTTTTTTTTGCAATGGTTCCTCTACTTCAGGGCTCTTCTGTGATATAGATTGCTCTGTCGACACTTTATCTATAATCTAAAATTAACTTTGTCAGTTTTTCTATAAATATTGCATAAATGAAAATTAATACAACTCTTACCTCTACTTGTTTGCTTTCTATAATTAATTTAGAACCTTCTGCCATATTATTTGAACTAATTGTAGTTCTTCCTATAATATTACCATTTGAATTCTATAATATATATCAGAAGCATTTAATAAACAATCTTTATAATTATTTAATGATTTATTAATGCAATTATTTAATGAATGAAGATTTATGTTCTGAATTACCTTAAGAATTGCATTTTTCCCAGTTACTTCTAGTAAACCATCGTCATCCCATGTTTTGTGTTTTTTCTTACTGTACACCACGTTAAAAACACTGTAAGAAATATAAATATTTATTTACAAGTAAAATCGAGATATAGATCTATTCTAACGTTCATTCAGAGTATATACTTACATTTTTGCTGTCGTTTGGGGGGAATCAGTGATCGACATTTTCTTTTCGCATATCGGAGAATTAGCATTTCGTTTCCTTGATGAATTTTTCACATTGACATTATCGCATCCGATCTCATCTTTTTGAGTTACATTTTCGAACAAATATAACATTTGAGAGTTGTTCCGGATAGGCTTTTTCACTAAATCGCTCGGCGTTTTTTCCTGATACGCGGATATCTCATTTTCATTACATTCCTCGGTGTTCGTTTGTTGTTGAACGATTAAAGGGGATATGAATCCCTTTACAGGTCTGTTTCGATACATGAATAAATTGTTAAACTACTGAAATTGTACAACAGCAATCTGCAATCAGTCAGTACTCGTCCGAAAGGCGCGAAACTATATAATTGAACCATAGATGGCGGTCGACTGGAATTACCAACTGCAAAATTTTTATTTGCACGATTTAATTCCATCACATAGTTATTTGTTGGCAATTCGTCAATATTTTGTGAAGCGCAAAATTCAAACTTTCAAAAGTCAATAAAATGTTTTATGATTAAATGGAAAAAAAAGGTATTAAAAATACTCGCTATTTTGAGAGAGAAAAAAATTATAGAATTTTAAATCAGTTAAATCTATTGCGAGTATAAATAGCTGAAATTTTAGTTCCCAGAAACAGCAAATTATCAAAAGAACACAGTTAGATAAGAAATGATGCAAATCAAAATCTCAAATATATTAACTTTTTATTTGTAATTCTTTATTTTATATAAAAATATGTATAAATCAGATAACAGCTGAATGCCAAGAATATTTGCTTGTCAATGTAAATAGTATGTATTTTTTACATATTTCATTAGACGAATTATGTAGACATTAAATTCGCTGAAGGTGTCAAGTAGTTTGCCGCTCGGTACGATTGTAGATCCGGATTCAATCCCACCTATAAGCCCGTATATGTAATTTTTTTATTATCAGTACCGTTTGTTATTGAAACCTCACTAGAGGCCCTATCATACAGGATAAAGGAACATACATATATAAATACATAATAAATTCGTTAAAATTTGCTAGTAATGTCAATAACTGCAATCGCTACTAGAATCGCTTTATCTTTATTTAATAAATTTATTAATATAAATGCAATTGAATTTTTCAGTATTCTACAAAGTTTTAAAGATAAAATATTATCTTTAAAATTTTTTTGTCAATTTATTGAGTTGTTACATAAGTTCGTTCGATTTTGTAGGATAGAATAAAACTATTTTATATTTTATATATATTTTCTAAAGAAATTGACAATTACACTATCGATAGGGCAAAGTTTGCAATTTTTGGGCACATGACAAGCCTACAAAGTGAGAAGAAAATTTTTTTTTTTTTTAGCTTGATGTTTTCTCTGTGTAAAAATCAAACTTATATAAACTCAAAAAATAAAGTAACTTTACGAAAGTAGATTTCAAGCTTTAAAACCTCCTTTTTAATTTTAAATTCCGTTCATTTTTAACGAAAATATTGTATATACAATTTTTACTCTCGCGCTGAAAATTGTGAAGTTCTTCGTTTGTCCTACGGACAGAAATTTTACGAGGCTTTCCAAGTAAATCTGCGAAGGCACTTCCCGCGGTCGGTACGATCTTGGCACAACTTACTCCTGCGTTGGCGTCTTTCAACATGGCAAAGTTGAGATTATCGCCAACGATCAGGGCAACCACACGACGTCCAGCTATGTGATCTTCACGGAAACCGAACGTCTCATCGGAGACGCCGCTAAGAGCGGTGCTCCCGTTGCCATGAATCCCAACAACACCATTTTCGATGCCAAAAGGTTGATCGGACATCACTTTGAAGATCTGATCATCCTCGCTGATATGAAGCATTGGCCTTTCACCATAATAAATGATAGTGGCAAGCCAAAGATCCAAGTATAGTACAAAGGAGAGACAAAGAATTTCTTCCCCGAAGAAGTGAATTCGAGTCTTAGTAAAAATGAAGAAGACTGCAGAAGCATATTTAGGCAAAACTGTCACCAAGTGACAGCGTCCCCGCTTACTTCAACGACTCGCAGCGTCAGGCAACCAAGGACGCTGGGCTTGGTACCATCTCGGGCTTGAACGTATTGCGTATCAACGAACCCACCGCCGCCGCGATTGCATACGGTCTCTTGGTTTACGGTCTCATCTTGGTCTACCAGCGTAAGTACGCTTCTGCAGTCTCCTTCATTTTTGTGCCAAGCGCGCCCTGTCATCCTCCACCCAGGCATCGAGATTAATTCGTTGTATGAAGGATTTCTATACCTCCATCACCCGAGCTAACAAAATCGAAACAACTTATATAACACACAATCCAATATGTAGCTATAATAATAATAATAATACGGCTTATACATTTAAACAGATACTTTTACTTATTATGTTAAACATATAAACTGTACAATAATACCTATAAGATAATAATTAACTATGCGTTATAACTAAACGCTATCTATCATTTATGTGTATAAAGAGTACATGAATGACCATTATCTGCTGAATTGTCGGTTATCTTGCCTACGTTTGCCAACTTGGCGAAAGGTCTTGGTGCGATTCACCTGCTTTACCGAACTTGGATCGTTTATATTTTTGAACTGTCCATAACCACCTCCACCGAGTCTTTTTCGTGGTCGTGAAGCCTTACTGATTCCTACTTCTATAATGTAAAAAATTAAAAAAATAATATTTGACACGATGTAGACTGTTTGAGTAATAATATATTGTTCAAATTTCTATATACAATTTAATTTTTTTAATAGTTTTGATAAATTAACGCTTATAAAAAGATAGTCAGAATACGTTAAAAAAATTGATTTTGATCAAATATATAATATTAAAAACAAAAAATATTTAAAAAACTAAATTGTTTCGTTTTTATGAATTTATTAACAATTTCCAATGAGAAATTATTTATATTAAACTTATGAAAGTACTTGCACTTAATGTTAACAACTTTTTAAAAGGACTTACTCAAATCTATCGCTGGTGGTACAACAAATCCGAACGATTTGGCGACTTTTGCTAAATCCAAGGTCTCTATATCGAAAACATGTTTCAAATGATGAGAATCATATGCTCTAACATAATTCTTAAATGCCTCTTTTGCTGACTGATGTAAGAAATAATTCTTCGAAATTAACTTCTCAAGCTAAAAAAAAGAAAATAGTATTTTATATCACCTCTAAAACATGCAGATATGTTTGTTAAATTGATGGAATTGAAAAGTTTCGATTTCTCGATAGAACATATGAGATATAAATCTTACTGATTTTCAAATTTTTTAAATTCTGTCCAAAGGTCTTAAATTAAGATCTATATAGAAAATAATTTAAAAAACAAACTAGAAAAAAATTATAATATATTGCTTACTTGCAATTGTATATCGGCAATTTTATTCCAAGAGAATTCATATTCGTTAACGGGTACACGGGCTATCTTAAGATATCGAAGAAAGCCAAGTTCTTCTGGTCGCAATATCAGCAAAGCATGACCACTGCTGCCTTCTCCGCGAGCAGTTCGACCTACGCGATGGATATATTCCTAAAAAATCGCACAACTACATATTATAAATCCGTTTAACTGATAATCTAAGTTTATCGTTAAAAATTATCTTAATGATAATCCGCAAAGCAAAATACTGTATCAATCGTTACCTTAGGATCGTCTGGTGGATCAAATTGCACGATCCAATCAACGTCCGGTATATCTAGACCTCTTGCGGCTACATCAGTGCAAAGTAAAATCCCAGTGGAAGCGTTGCAAAATTGATAAAAGGTTGTGGTTCTTTTCGTTTGTTTTTGTTTACCCTATCAATGAGAGTGCGAATATTAAATCAGAAAAGAATCTTGTTATCAATATAGAAAACAGTACAAAAAAAGATAATCTTATAACTTACATGAATACTCATTACTGGTAAATCGATATAATTCAAGAGTTCATGATGATATTTAACGGACATGCAGGAACTAAAGAAAACCATTATTTTCTTTTGTTTGTTCTTCTTTAAGAAAGTGAAAAGAAGTAAAAATCTTTTCTCGCTCGGACATGTTACGTATCCTTGTTGTAAACCTTCCACAGTCGCCATTTCCTTGTCGTCGTCGACCCCCACGTATATAGGTTCTTTTTTGAGAGCTAACGTTGTTATCATTGTTACTTTTTGTGTTTGTGTTGCACTAAAAAGCATAGTTTGTCGGCGCTCTGCAACAATAATTCATACAGTAATAGAAAAAAAATACACAACTAAATTGACTCTAATATTGAAGTCAAATTATATATATGCAAAATATTACTAACTGGGAAGAATATTAATGATTTGTTTCAACTCTTCTTCGTAACCGATGTCTAAAATACGATCGGCCTCATCGATAATCAAACACTGGAGATTTTTGTATAAAAAATCAGGTGTATTTTGCAAATGATCTAACAATCGTCCCGGTGTTGCTACAATAATATTGATTCCCTTTTCAAGTTTTTGTGCTTCGGTTTGCCTACTAGCACCGCCCATTAGTAGACCATATGTGTGATAATGATATTTCATCAATTCTTTCAAGACTCCAAAAGTTTGCATAGCTAATTCTCTTGTGGGAGACATAATAATACATCCAGTACCTGCAAATATCTATTTATTATATCTCATTCCTATTGATTTTATATAATTAGAACATTAAAGTTTTACTGTATTACTAATTTTTAAACATTTATTTTTATATTATTCAAAGCTACAAAAGTAATATTACAATATATAATATATATAGTCATAAAAAATGACATTTTATATTGTACTAAATCTATAAGTTATTTATAAAACAAAAAATTTTTTATAATGCCATTCTGGTGCAAATTATAGCCATCGAGACATACCGTTACGAGGCATAAACTTCAATTTGTAAATCAGTTCAACAGCAGGAATCAAAAACGCTAAAGTTTTGCCAGATCCAGTTTTGGCAGCACCAACCAAATCTCTTCCTTCCAAAAGAGGAGGAATAGCTTTTGCTTGTATCTCTGTCATATTTGTAAAACCCATATCCTTTATTGCTTTTAATGTATTCTCACATACTTTTTCATTTAATACTGAGAAGCTTGTATCATTTGTCACTTCAAAACCTACAGCTGTGCCAGGTACTAAACAAAGTATATACCAATATTATTAACATATACATATCATTTAACAATTAGTTATACTAGAAATACATACAATTTTCAGTAACCAAAGATTTTTCTATTACATCAGACTTTTCATTTTCTTCAGATGCTTTTAACTTTCTTTTTTCTAAAAGAAATAAAGTTTTTATTAATAATTATATAATAAAATAAAAAATAAGAATAATAAACAAAACATGTCAATAGCTTCTCAATAAAACAAATTGTAAAAAATATTAATGTTTATATAATAAAAAATCTGTTATAAAAATAAATTAAAGTAAGTTATTACTTTCTAGAGGAACATCTTCTATGCAGTCCTGGTCTGTTTCAGTTGCTTTCACTGATTCATCTGTATCTATATAAGAAACAAGCCTTAATTGAAATAAATGTGATCATTTTTGTCACAGAGAATCAAGACAAAAATAAAAATCCATTGGCTTTAATAATTGACAATTTTATATACAGGGTGTTAGTTAAGTATGTTACCATACTCAACAGAGCGATTCTTTGGTTTATTTCAAGTAAAAAAGTTCATATAAACATGTATCCTAAACGGCTTAGTTCCGAAATACAAATGAATGTTTGCAAATGTTTGACGAAATGGTAAATTGCATTAGAGATATCTTCCTGCATAAATATGCCTTGCTTCACGTGAATTACCATTCGTACAACTGTAAACAAAGTGACAAAGCCTCCTAGATCACCAGACTTAAATCCTTTGGATTATTTCCTTTGGGAACATTTGATATCATTGGTTTATACCACCCCAATTGAGAATGAGAATGATTTAAGAAATCGAATAGTTGCTTCATGCGAGGCAATACATAACACACCTGATATCTTTGAGTGTGTACGTTAACCTTTGAGAAGGCATGATGGATGTATCATGACGCAAGGTGGATAATTCATCTAATTGTTTTATTTCATCAGAAGAACTGTGAAGCCTGTTTTTGTTTTTCTGTTTTTAACTAGTTCAAGCTGTGCTTCTTTTAAATACAGATTATTACTACACGTTAAAATTTTTTTATTTCGGAAACTAAGCTGTTTAAGACACATGTTTATATCAACTTTTTTACTTGAAATAAACCAAAGAATCGCTATGTTGAGTATGGCAATATACTTAACTAACACTCTGTATATGTAGATATATTCTATTTTCTGTATAATTAAAATTGTACACGTTTTAGAAAGATAATTATATCAGCCTATCTTTTTTTCCACGAAGTTCTAACCTCGAAGTTCGCATGCTCTTACCTTTCTGTTCTTCTCGGCGTTTCAGCACGTTTAATTTCGTCTTTTCCCGTTTTTTAATTTTTCGCATCAATATTTTTTCGGGCACGGACATTTTCTCGAGTCGTGGAATATATCGTGACTATTTTATATTGAAAATAGCGAAAAACTCGAAGTTAACGTCCTCGTGGTAGACCACATGTGAAAGTGTATCCTTGAAGGCCTTGAAGTTGTAAATCAAGGTACATTTTCACGAGTCACTCCAACCGACTGTTTCGGCGACAAAAAAGATCACGTGGTCAAAATTAACGAATATCAAGCGTCAATTTTAATCACGTGATCGTTTTGTCGTTGAAACAGCCGATTTGAGCGGCTCATGAAAATGTACCATAGTAGTATTCCGCGCGATTACGAACAGTTCCAATTCAAGAATCCGAGTTAGATGGGCAGATCATCAGGGTAGATCTGATCGGGGCACTTCAGGGTTTGTTTGACGTTATCGGGAACTGTCAGGCATACAGTTCGATTTTAAATTATCCGTATAATATTGCGCAAAATCTACGCGCTATGTGAAGTTTTCGAATTGTTTCAAAGTGCCTCGAGATATTTGTCGAAGCAAGGTTACATCTCGAGCGGTGCAAAGAGGTTAGATTCATCCTTGGATACTTACAAGGTATAAACATGTCAGACAAGGAGACGAATGATGAGATCCAAGTGATAGCCGAAAAACTGCATAGCGTTACGACCATCGAGCCAGCATACAACAATACTCCGCAACAGCAGCAGCAGCAGGCAAAGAGTTCACGGAAAAGCAACAATAACGGGGTAGTGCGTCATCCTGTAGATAGCAAAAGGCCTGATGCCGGCACTACTACAGCTACCGCGGAGGAGTACGTTTTTATAAGAAACGTACCTGAGCTCAATTTACCTGAAAAGATTCTATTTGTTATCGACACAGTGAGGGAGCAGCAATGTACACCTTTCAAACTGGGCACAGGTGCAACATATCTACCTTTGTTCATGATAAAACGTGTGGTGGAGAACTTTATTGGCGCAAAGTCCACCATACAGCCTGGGGTGCATGAGTATGCGCTGATGAGTCTGGATTCACACAGTGCTTCCTGGCTCTGTGACTACACCAGTAATACAAAGGCTATTATCAATCATTTGGAGAGTATCACAGAAGATATACCAGACGAGGAACAAAAGACCTACGATTTGGGATTGCTATTTGAGGTGATACACTCTCGGATAGCAACGCCGGGGAGGAGCCAACCAACATTCATCTCGCGTGTCATCTTCATATATGGACGATCAAATTCCGTCCCAAAGTTCCACACTGGACAGAAGTATTTAGAGAATCTAACGGAGAACCCATACTTCTTCTTGGATGTGCTGTTCGCTCATGAACCACCTAGCGATGACAATATGTGCGAGGCGGTATATGCCGAAATCGCGGCTTTAGACACAACGAATTTCTCTTATATCTTCGAAGTAGGTAGGAACGCTGCTAAAATACATGATAATATGGCGAAGCTCTTAGCACATCCGTTGCAACGTCCACCACAGAAGGATGCTTCTTATACTCTTTATTCAATGACGGCCAATCAGGAAGTACATACTAATGTATAGTGCTATGTATATTTGTTAGTAGGTAACTTATTTTCATGGAAAATTTTGTATATTATCGGATCAGATCTACATTATTAATATGATATAATTTAAAGACAATATTTTGTTTACTGGTACCAATAACATCTTTTATAGTGATCCTAAAGGCGTTTACTTTGCCGATTTAGTAGGATTTATATACAAATGGTTTATATGTTATTGGCTTCGGTACTGAAGAACAGAGAGCAGCTTTGCATCTGTTGTAAAATTCTTTAATGTTAGTCTCGTCTTTAGTTTTTCACTGGATCTGAATATATAAACTAATCGTGTTAAAGAATCACACAACAGAGAGATTGATGCATCACTACACATTATTACAACAGTCTCACATTATACATACGTACATACAAATTTGCTAATTCATCTTTCATATTAGATATCTAAGCCTAATTCTGAGAACTCACCATTGTTTGTTCGTATAATTTCTAGTCCAAACCAAGATCGTTTTATTTTTTTATGTCACAGTTAAAGTGTTAACTCAGTAAATGTATACATTTACTGTAGTCTGCTGTAGTCACTATATATTATAAATATATATTAACTAGTAAGTACATTTACTAAAATTAAAACACTTTGATTGTGACATTTATATACTTACAAAGTATAAAACTTGTATATATGAAGCAAAATATTGTTATACCAGAAGCTAATAACAAAACTGTAATTTTCAAACTTTTTTCGTTTTTGACATAAAGTTGACTGGCTGGACTATATTATCGTTTATTCTTTAATTGTGGAGAAAAGGATTTTTAAATCTGTAAAGACATATTAGAAAAATATTTATATGAAAAGTAATTGCATTTGGTAAAATATATGACTTTAGGATCCTCTTAATAATTTTATTTATGTTTATTAGAGAATGTACAGCAAAAAATATAATTGTGTGTTATATATAGTCTTTCAAACTGTCATCAAATAAATAAAATCATTTTTCTATAGATTTATAAAATGGTCTATTTTGCGTAAGCAAATTAAACATACAGTGTTTAAGAGAGAGACATATAAACTCGTATTTTAAAAGATATTCTATCATCTTTTTTTCTTCTTTACAATAATGTTATTTCTATTAACTCTTATGTCTTATATAGCTTATTATTATTTTTTTAATATTTTATTTATATAGCATTATATTCATTCATCAGATTTTAGAACTTCGTGATGCTTTGTTATCAGATGGGCGGAAAGTTTGATTTTTCGGGTAAAACTGTGTCCACAAATCTGACAATGGAACGGCTTTATCCCGAGATGTAAATGTTGATGTCTAACAAGATTAGACGACGTCGTAAACTTTCGTTCACACATATTACATGCGTAAGGCTGCTCACCAGTGTGCTTTCTTCTGTGCTTGTTGAGATCTCCAGCGTGATTGAATTTCTTTTGACAATATTCGCACATTAATTGTTTCTTTCGTATATTTCCAATGTTTTCATGGACTCGCAAATTGTTAATATCATCTTTATTTTCTATATTAATAGAATCGTTGTTTTTTTCGACCTTAACGTCAATTTCCGTAGCTTTCTCAATTTGAAAATTTTCATTGATTTGCGACTTTTCCATTATTTCTAAATTGCCGATATTCCGATAGATAAATTTTGACAAAAATTGCCGATTTTTCTAAATGCGTCTTAAAGCTGCAAAATATGTTTTAGTTAGCGTAAGATATTTTTTATAATCTCCAGAAATAATTACAATGTGATGTAATTTACAAGTTATTTTTAAAATGTTACAATAATAGATATATGAATACAATAAATGTTATAAAAATTATAACAGTTCAATAAATTTCTCTATTATACACATACAATTCATCTATCCGTAACATTTATTTATTATCTTAGAAAAATACATAGATAACACTCGTTGAAAATTGTTTCATATAGAGATGAAGCCGTTTCCTTATATTGATCACTTTATTTGGCTTCTACATTTGAATTAATTCTCAAAACGTAATATAATTTTACATTATAGGCAACTCTCATTACGGATAACATCAATTACTTTTTTCTATTATTCATTTAAATTATTATTCATTTAAATGTGCATGAAAAAATTTTAATTTCAAATTCTCTAAAGCCACAAATTAATATTACATTATATAAATCAATCGGAATTGAAAGCAACTCGTTCGCAATTTATCATATAATATGACATGTTCTTACCAAAATTTTAAATTCAGTTTTTGTCAGAAGCGTGTATTACCTCGTCACTTCTCAATACGGGTACAATATATTTCTTGCAATTATTTAAGTACAACAGCGTTCTTGAGTATTACACACGACATACTTCCGAGTATTACTATTGACGTGAAAAAGTACGAAAGCAAAAGTATAACTAGCCAAAAAAAAACATTAGATAAACCATTGTCAGTATATCTGAATAATGACATACATTTCTTCAGTAAAACGGATAATACTGTGCGAGTATGGCGTAATACAGGTGCCATCGGGGAATACCCGACTGGTATGTCCAGACAAGCCTCCGGTACGTAGATAAATACAAATACTTGTTACACACACACACCCGCGCGCGCGCGCACGCAGAAAAACAGTCTTTATAGAAGAGAGAGATAAAATACGCATAATAGAGAACATTTCTACGAGTATTATAAATAAATAATTATATTAGGAATCAATCTCGCATTTAGAAATTTATTTAGGAACTTTGGATCGTTTACATATTTGAGATTGCATGTTAATTACAATAAATTTAAATGGATTTCTATATAAACGGTGAGTTTATATTTCATGAGTTTCTATAAATATTACAAAATGTCATACGCATTATATTGATCCTTTGTTAACAAGAATCGAGATATTCTTAAATTAAGAGTTTTTCGAGAATTAAACTTTTTGAAGATATCGGGTACATTTTTTAAAATACGTTATCTTGATAGAAATACACACATATATATACATGGATATACATATCCAAAGTAAAGAAACGCAACCATATAATTAACATGCTTACGAATCTTCTATCGATTATGTTAACAGTATGATTAGATTAAACACTATTTACGATTGAATAATTATAAATAGTAATAATTATAGTAATGTAAATTTTTCAAGATTTCATTTTTATTGATCATATTTTAATAATAGATTCTTTGGTTTGTTAGAAGTTTGGTCAATTTATCCTCAAAGAAAATGCACAGGGATATTAAGCATTATATATCTTTATCTAATTCCGAGCAAGAAAAATCATCTAATTTGAAATTGATAATCATTATCTATTTCTTTCTTCTCAAGTTCAATTTACAAGACAACAATGTACATTTCTTTTTTGAATCACGAATATTATACTATTTATTTCTTATTACACTAGTAGCCTGACATTCTCGCCGATATTGATTCTTCTGTGTGAATAAAAATAATTCATCATTGAAATTAATAAGAATTAAATTAGAACACTGTATACATTACCGGATAGGGTAATTAGCAATCTGACAGTTATAATTGTAATCTATTTTTATATCACAGAAATGCAAGTTACTTGTTGACACAACATCCGTTCGTTTGTCGGAGATAAATACACAATACGAACGCGAAATATATTTAAAAAATATCGTCATTTCA